TCCACCAGAGCCAAAACCTTGCTACGGAGTACAAAGCCACCTCCGACGCGACAGTTTGATTTAGTTCAGTTATCTCAGGGTGGATAGGTAACTTTGGACTAGCGCTACTGCGAGATACAGATACTATTCATATAGGGCGATACAACCTCGAAATCATGTGCCTCCGCAGGACAAGGTCTTCTTGACGGACGCTCCGATTCGACATGGTTCGTTTAATAGTAATAGTAGGCTCAGTTTGATGATATCCCTCTAGCGCTACGGGTGTTGATAACATGGAGCCGAAGACACGGGAGAACTTGAGATCTCGGGCGCCAGCTGCTTTCTCCTCGCCAACCGGCGCATAAAGACCTACTAACCATTATTACCCCAATACGAGATTTCAACTCTCAAGGTATCGATGGATCTATCTAGCTGCCCAAACGTGGACTAATATCAATGCAAGTGCCGCAAATTCGAGTTACGTGGTGACTGTCAACATAGTTTGAACATAGTTATACTGGTCCATGATTGATGACGTTGAACGCATCGCCTTCCTGGGGAGGGAGATTTACAGTACCCAGAGACACCAACAAGTAACAGTTAACACCAAGGCAAATTATATGGTAGCAACTATCGAACTAACTTGAGAAGTGGGTGCTTGGTCAATCTCCCCACTGGGCTGTAACTCCGTCAATGATGATCCATGGGACCATTACTGTAACTTGGAACCGAATTCGGATCGACACGGCCCCGACCGACGCCCAGTTCCAGAGTTCCAGAGTTCCAGACTAGCTTTGGTGAGAAATATTGAAGTCATTCCAAGACTCATGCAGTGCTTGCAGACTTGCAGTTATGATCGCGCATTTGAATTGCAGTGGCGTTGGATGGCTATGACTCGGCCAAGCCTACAAAGCTTTATTACTTGTCCAGCAGCACTATCTGCTGCGTTCTACTGTACAGGTCTCGAGCTGAAAGAATGTGTTCTAGGCAGGTATAATGTTGTACATTCTACCTATGCTCCATAATTGTCACGTTCAACGTATGGAGAGGAAGTGGCGAGTGCTCCGGTGGGGTACGTTTCTAGCTCCATCCTTGAGACATGCAGTCGATTTTGCTCTTACACATGCTTGATTCATTTGATTCATGATCCTCAATTTCTCATTGCTTTCGGTCATCTCCAAGGGCGCTTCAGAGGCGAGAATACTGAGACTCTTGTGTTTTGTTACTGGAGTGAAGGAGCCACACCGCTACAGACTACGTGAGTATGGCCCAAAGCTTCCTGGGGCAGTGACACAATGGGAGAGCACACCCCGGGCCGAGTACGTACATACATGACCGATGGCGCACAGGCGGAATCTTCCAGGGTTGACTGGTGTAATCCATTCTTGGGCTTGCGAGGACAGTACAGAGTACAACAGCAACATTGTTGGTTCTTGACCGCTTCTCTCTCTCTCTCTGTTTCACTCTCCCTCGGTTTCGAACATTTAACACTGAAATAATTAGAAGGACTTAGTTAACAACTGGCTGGCGATGTTGGGAAAGATTTACCAACTGGACCGCCGCGGGCACACCGAGTCCAACCCAACGGTGGGATAGGTGCAGTTCGATACCAGCCAGGTACGTCAAATCCGCATTCGAATAATTACTTGGTAATTAGATAACTGTAATTTGTGGGAATTAATCGAGGGAAGATTCACTCCCTGTCCTCGATTTCTATTTGACATTCTGCCTTTGCTTTGACGCAGTTGCCGCCGTCGTCTCCTTTATGTACCAATGGTAATGGGCGGCTCGTGTATTTGGCAATGGGCAGTCCTAATGCGATGATAATGATATGATATCTCTGCGTTCAATAAAGGCTATTATTTGATCAGCGGTGGCTGCTGCCCAGCCCCCCTTTCTTCTAGTCACTCCATCGCTATGTATCTATGGAGTACGGATGAAACGCAAGAATTCAATGAATTAGTCTATGCCAAACCCCCGGATCCCCCGACCTGATTCACCTCTGGTATTTCCTCCGTATAATACAAGACTATTGGCCCAAATGGATAGTCTAATCCTCCAGCAGTCAATCATATCTCCCATGTGAACATTCCCCCTCCCTCTTTCAAGGTTAACCTGGCTCCTGGGACCCAGTAATTTGGATATGGGTCAACTCCTTTCGCCCTTTCGCCCTTCGCCCTTCGCCATACGCCACCTTTGCCGCCATGCCTCCCTGTCCTGCCGGTCCGAAGCTCTAAAGAACTGTTTACTAGACTTTCCGGCCAATGATGAAGGAATCGAGAGACCCATAAGTTTTCCTCGTGATTTGTATAACGTGGCAAAACGTTGCAGATTCAAGTGGTAAGTATGCTTTCTGAGACGACAGCCCAAGCTCTGGCCCCCTTGGGGAATAAGAAAAGAATGGGACAGGGAAAAGAAGAAGCAGGAGAAGAAGGCAAAAGCCACAGCTGAAGAAAAGGAAATTGAAGCTCTTAGCTGTAATAATAATAGAAGTCTCCATTCCACCTTTCCCACTTCTCCAACGCCGATATTGTTCCCCATAGCTGCCTTGGCTTGTTACCAGTTGCTTCCTACCTCTTCTTGATCGTCTTTAAGTCCTCACTTGCGTAGTTTTTCTTTTTCTTCTCTTTTCTTTTTTTCTTCTTGAACCTTATCCTGCTACGGGGTATCACGTATCGTTCATGCAAATCCCACTCGCAGACTGTTTTGATCAACCAAAATTCGAAGTCGCTTTCCTCCTCAAGACTCTCCCACTGCTGGACTTTGGATCTCTGGAGATAGGACCTACCAGCGGTCTTTGAACTCGTGTCAGCTTGATAAACCGCAGAGTCTTGCCCAGAAACATCAAAGGTAGCAGGATACGGTATCTGCCCCTCCATGCTTTCGAAGTGATTGATATGGTTCTCAGACTTCTGAGATGTATTCCGCCGGCCCCTACGAAGAAGCCATGTTTGAGCCGTCGCCTGGGATAATAGCGACCTCTTCCGACAACAGCTCTCTCCTCTTGTCAAGTACAGAGACCGACATGTCCCGGTCTTCGCCCGGTTATGCGGTCGGGGAAGCAAGCAGGGTAACATACATGCCGGAGCAATCCAGTTATACGTCCTTGTTCCGCTCCGACTCCGAGATGACACCATTCTTTGTACCCTACCGCTGGTGGGAAGATGAAGCCACTACGGTGCTCTGGGCGTTTGACGTGCAAGAGATTAAGCGCGTAATCCGCTACGGGCTCTTTCGTGATCCCAATCTCCCCCGCACCTCGCTGCAAAGCCGCAATGCAACCACGATAGACACCTTCTTGCTCTCACTTCTCGAGCCGCACGAGAGATTCCTCCTTTCCAACCTGTCTCATATTCAAAAGGTGGAAGAGATTCTTCGCCGGTCAACGATTAGCAGCCCTCCTTCTGTTCCCTGGAGTTGGTTTCCCTCACAGAAGGATCGAGATCTGGATCCTCGCGCATTGGCAAGAGATATTGATGCGGAGAGTCATCTTCACTTTAAGCGCATTTCTTTTGAGGAGCTTGTCCGTTACTCCTTGGGGTATCCAGCCGCCTCCGTCGATTGGTTCCTACAACAGCACACTGCCTTTTACATTCATCTTTTGAACTATCTCAATGCATTCCCTGAGGAACTCGCACGGTATACTGAGGTTGAGAAGGTTGGTGGCCTTGTACAGGTGATGAGATTGCAGACTCTTCTTACTGACACTCTGCACAGCACCTGCGAGGCCGGAGCCCCTTCGCCCATCGTGCTTTGGTTCACTGTCTGCTCTCTATGCAATCTCAGACCGGGTTGGATGTGCCGCTAGTCTCGAGTCAAACGCTGGCGTTCGAATTCATAGCTGGGCCTATTCAGAACCTATTCCAGGATTCCCCACCCAGCCTTACCTCCATTCTCAAGGTACTCTCCGTCCTTGGGGTGCGCTTTGAGAAAGCATACGTGCATGCACGGGAAATGAACTGGGTTCAGCCCTTCAACACCAGCGTGTGTTTCTTGGACGACCTCTTGGCCTCGACATCGGCCGTGGACTTCTCGCGAACCCTGACAAATATCGACGAAGGTCAATTCTCAAAGCTGACGGCCCCATCAATTGCTGAGGAGAGTTCCGTAGCCAGACGCTTGGTCGAAGAATGGGGCCTGTTAAGCACGGCCGTGTGGGAATGCTGCTCAGCCTTGCCAGATCTGGTACCATATTTGCAGGAATGTGCAGAGGTGCGTACGGATCTATTGTCGAGCTGATGTCATACCTCAATCTCCCATCAACGCTGACTCCTGATACAGGCTCTCTTGGCCAATCGCAACTATCACTCGTTCACTGCTGTTCTGAACGGTCTGCAGAAGTACAGCATCACAGCTCTGACGATTACCAACACCAACAACGACACTAGTACCGTAGCTCTGAATCCGGTGTTACCCCCTAACTTAGTTTATCTGTTGAACCCCTTCCGGAATTATGCAGCCTATCGCCGGCAGTTTCAAGAGTTTCCAGGCATTCCATTTCTCTTGCCACACCTTCGGGAAATCCAACAGCACGGAGAGCCAGCATTGCGCCAATTCTTCAACAACTTGCAGATTCGTACACGCTGATGAACGAGTGCAGGTCGCTCATATGATATGCAGACGTCTCTTGGTATAGGGTTCGTCGTTACAGGAAGGATAGAACTGCTGCTTGTCTATGGGCGGATGACATTTGTATGTGGTTCATTTAGATTGATCTCATCTAGTTGGTAGGTTACAAGATTTTGGATTCAGATCATGGATTGCCTTTCGCATATAGAACGCGTTTATCGCGTATTTAGCAGCCTCATTTCACGGGTCTCTTCAAACCTTTCAACTGGATTGATCGAAGGGGAGCTGTTATTTTCTCGCCGTTTCTACCTCTTATCGCTGATATCATGATCTTCGACAGAGACAGACCCTTCAGATGCATCGAGTCCCTCAGACAATCATCGAGTCTAGCTCATGCAGCACCTCGCAAGAACGTTGCAAGCAATACATCATCCCTGCCGATCCAACCTGTTTCAAACCCGCTTCTGGATTTTATTCGCCGCCCCCTTCGCCTCTCCAAACAACCCCGCCAAATAAGCAATTCGATTGATCATCAGAAAGCCGGTGATCCCAATATTTCCCCAGGTTAAAACATTCCAGTTGATAACGTCGACAAATTTGTCATGGCCCATGCAACAATACGTCACGTAGATGTGGCCCACATCAGCGATGGCCAGAGCATAGAGGTAGTTACGCAGCACCCTGGGCTCGGTAGTCGAGTAGCAGACGCCGATGCCTAGGATACTGAGGAGACCATAGAGGTTGGCTAGCTGGAAGGCGAGGGCTGCACTGGTTGGATGGACGGATTCCGGGCCTGCGAGACCAGGAATTTGATCTGTTATGAACGCTTTGAGGTCCCAGAAGGGGAGAGCCCAACCTCCGATGCTGTGTCTATTAGTTGATTGCCTCAGAATGGTACATGGATGAGAGTCGGGGGTGTACAGCGTGATCGGCTCTATGACTGCAAAGAGGACGTGAGGCCAAGTCGGGAAAATAGTGGACATTTTCAGACTTGATGGATCGTTTCTTGGCTTCAAATCGGACAGACTTGATTCGAAAGATGATGAGATTGACTATGCACCCTGTGGAGAGATGAAGCTATTGGTTGTTGTTTACTAAGGGGCGACTCGCTCAGAGAAGAAGATGAGAGCCGATCCTGAGGTGTTCGTACCCATCATCAGCCTAATGCCTTGCCCCTTACTCAAAACAGTGAATACACATCCTGCTCTCCACACTGATCAGTATATTGCCTTCTCTGAATCACCTTGATTCCAGTGAATTGATTAATATCCAGGTTTCTGGGGCAAATCCAAGGATCTAGATTCCCGATGGACCCATGATGGCGGCCTTAGTCATCTGCACCGAAAACCGGAACTGCGCTTCTGGCCCATTCTACCTCCCGTAATGCTGCCTGGGGTTCCATCATGATCCCATCAGGATTCGGGCAATTCTTAACCTGCTTTTCTGCTTCTTCTGGTGGTAGAGTTTCCAATGCTTCTCATCACAATGGATTGTGCAGCAGCTTCTGGTTGTTCGGTGATGCCCATCATCGCATTGTGACCTGCCTTTCAGATGGCACGAAACCCTACAATGGATCCTAACGGCACTTTATCTCGACCTCTTGATGAGTCTCTGTATCGCGAACTTCCACAGCTCCAAAGTCTCCGCATTGCTCCTCTCCGACAGCCTGTCTCTTCCCGTCTGCTGAGCGCTCCATCACCTCTTGAACCGAATGCCACTGGAATTGGTGATTCAAATGCGAGCACCAAATCCAATACGCCTGGAGCGAATCAGCCCGCCAATCTCCCCACTCTTACGGAGTTCTTGAACGCTGCCCAGTCGAAGAAGAACGGTCATGCGGTGGACACGCTTCTGAGCTTGGAGCCTCCTCCAAAAACCATATTGCCAGCTTTTGTTAACTTACGAGCTTTGGAACGATTCCCGTATTCCTCGTTTGACGATGACTCTCTGGCTCGCAAGCGTCGCCGTTTAGATGTTCAGACAGATTCCTTCGGAGAACATTTGCAGCTTCCGATCCCTCAGGCACAGAAAGGACATCGACCTCCGCCATTTGGACCTTTTGCAATTCTCAATGGACTGAATGAACCGCCCCCCAACGCTGCTCTCCTGCCTCCTATCGAACCTGGCTCCATCACGCAACTGCTCACCAAACCATCCCGGGATGTCGCTGTTGTTGAGTCCGTTACATTGACTGCTACCACGACGACGGTTACTCAGACTGCTGAACGAAGGGAAGGGAGAATCGAGGATATCCTTGACTCCCCCATCGATGACAAGACCGCCAGTGCTGACCAGGATCCTGTGGAAGCAAACCCTTTGGTGAACGGGGCGACCGTTGATCGACCCGGGGGCGACAGTGACAAGTCCGAATCCGATAAGACTCCTACTCCACCTGCGGATGATGTCGAGCCACTTTCTCCAAAGACAAGGGGCCGCTCCCGTAAGAACGTTCGCAAATGGACTGAGGAGGAGACGACAGCATTACTTCGCGGGGTGGTCAAGTGCGGTATCGGTAACTGGACAGCTATCTTGGCGCAGCCAGAACTGAAATTCAACAAACGAAGTGCTTCAAATTTGAAAGACAGGTATGATTTGCACGCAGTCTCCGAGAAGCCAAGAGCTAACATCGGCTTTTACGTCTTTAGGTTTCGGGTTTGTTGTCCCTGGGCATATCGGTGAGTTTCCACTGACATTCTTCGGTTGCAGCCCTCTAACTTTCTATAGCGCTGCCGATCCGAACGAGGCCACAAAGCAGTTGCACGATACGTTGGCCAATGCACTCCTCAGAGCTGAGACGGAAGGTTCCGATGGCACGGCTGGAAAGATTTTGCTTCCACAACCAAGACCGAGCAATTCGGAGTCTCATACTTCCAATGGGGGCTCAATGGCCAATGTGAACGAGTCAGCCTCCACCGGCTCGTCCTCGGAAGCCGATACCAAAACTCCAAAGTCCCGCTCGAAATACGGGCCATCTTTCAAAACCACACCTACTCTTTCAAATAGATCTAAATCCACTCTTGCTTCTCTCGGCATTCCTGAACCACACTTTGCCATGAAATCCCGGCGTCGCTCCCGCCGCCCATTTACCGTCGCTGAAGACGAAGCTCTACTCAAAGGGTATGCCGTTCACGGATTCCAGTGGACACTCATCCAGCAAGATAAACGCTTGAACCTTAGCCACCGGAAAGCAACTGATCTTCGGGATCGATTCCGAACCAAGTTTCCCCACGCGTATCGTGACGGGGGCTCCGTCAATGGTAGATCACTACATAGCCAGAGTCAAGGCGTAGGCCTGGCAGATACAAAAAAAGCACCTCCCTTAAAACCCAATACACAACCTACTCGACAATCCACGTCCTCCGCACGAGGCGGTAAAACTGATTGGGCAGACCAAGTCTCCTTGGGACCTATTGATCCTGCCCTTTCTCCGCCTGCTCCTCCACAGGGTTTGCTCGAGGCGGCGGCAAACGCGCCAGCAGGAAGTACAATTCTGCATTTCCCGCTGGACGAGAACTCTTCGAATGCCCCCGGCGTTGACGCATCCTGGGCGGATAACACCCTCGCACCGATGGTCTGGGACGAGCTGGCCTAATTTTACTTTCCTCTATGCCAGCCTTTATTGACCTTCTTACTCTCGCTGCCTATGATCTTCTGATTTTCCTACTTACACTCGTTGCCGTTGCAGGCTTCTCCATTTTCGGGCCTTTTTACACTCTCATTCTCGCTTTTTCCATTCGCCTCATCTCGTTCCTTGTTTTGTCATCGCAATTGCTTTGTTTTTGACCAAACCAATACCCCGCAGTACACGATGGTTTTGCTGATTAAGTTTTGAAACACACGCCTTTATCCATGCCGGCTCAGCGTTGGCAGCAAAGGGATCAGGAAATGGAAAAGGAAAGGAAAGGAAAAATAGATGAGATTAGAAGAAACTAATCTTCTACCGGAGACGAGACAGATGATAATTCTCCGGAATCGGGATTTCACTTCCTCTTCACCTCTCAGAAAGATCTTTCTAGGGCCTCGCAGACCTCGTAGACGTATGTGATTATCACAGTAACCCTTACTTGACTCAGGGAAGGAATTCGAGCCTTGAGTAGCAAAGTCCATATTGGGGCAATGAAATTAACGCTGAATTAGCGGAACCACGACGTTCGCCATGCTGTCAAGACGGCAATCCACGTGACGCGAAAAATTGCAAATGGGATGTGAACCAAGTGCGATATACGGCAATTGTCAAAAGTGCAACTGTCTGGAAACATACAGTCACCGTACTGCAATAGTAGCAAACAAAGAGATGCCGCCCCCAAAGTGTCTTGAGGCGAACACAGAAACGCTGCTTTACACTTTTGCGCTCCTGCGTAACAAATCAAATGTGGAATTCAACAGTCGTATGGGCCTTGGAAAGAGAGGGGGAGAGGAAGCTAGTGCGGAACCGCAGCGAACACGACGTATATCTGAGACGCTGGTGGTCATTGGGAGGTTATAAGGGGGAGAAGGAAAGGATATGACCGAATTGGAGTGCAACGAGACGACCTTGACGCTGGAAGTATCAGTTACCAAGCATTGCGGTCCCAGTTTGGATCTACACAGCGGTTAGCCCTTCTCTTCTTGGTATACCACCGGACCAAGAGAAGATAACTCACCCTGTATGAAGCTGGCTAACACCTTACTCCCCGTCTGCAAAAGCGGATGACCGGCAACGATCTGCAAGAACCGCTGCAAACCCTCGCGACGGTGCTCGATTACGTCGTCGCTGAACCGGTTCGTGAACACTTTCCCCGGCAAGGGCGGGATCGTGACTCTCGTGCTTTCGCGCTCCAGGATGTCGCGGAAGTATTCAAAGTCGGAGTACCGTCGGCGCACGACCGAGTGCTTCAGTTTGAACGCGGGGATGTTTGTTCGGCAGACAATCTCGTACGAGGTGTACATGTTGCGGGATGTGCCATGTGTCTGGGGATTACGGACCTGAATACGATGAGAGGTTAGTCTCGAGTTGGATTGCGAGTATGATATCGGACTTGTCGGTGACTTGATAGAGCGGGGTAGTTTCGGGATGGAAGCTACTGTTGCGTACCTCAATCTCGAGAAAGTTCTCGGGAGGCCCGTAGATCTCCTCGAATGTCTGTTGTCGTGATTCAGGGACGGCTTGCATTGTCGATGACGGGTGTCTTATGCCCAAGGGTGAATGGGAAGATCAACAGGATGCTGAGAGCGGGTGGGGGAAGGGACCGCGGGGAAGACGGATGTTGCGACTGGTCAGTAAGGTAGGAGCACGATCGTTACAGGGTGCGCGGACTCTGAGAGAAAAGTGGATGTCTTGACCGTTAGGATAGTATGAGGGATTATAGCAGAGAAGTGTGAGAGAGAGTTTTCCACTATTGCCTCAAGAATGCCTGGTAATGGCAGAGGGATCGCTGTGCTATTCATGGGATCATCCTTGTCTTCTAGACTATTCTGGGTAAAGTGACGGGTGACAGCTCGCATTATCATTGATCCGTTATCGTGTTCTTATCTATCGCTTATCGACACTTCAGTACTTCATACGTCAATACAATGGTCAATGGTCAAATAAAGTAGGCTCAAGTGCAAGGAAGAGACGAATACCTGACTACGAACGTCCGGTCGAAAAATTAGAGGACCCACAAATGGAAACCCCAGACAATCCTTCGGCGATCCTACTGCAGCTCCTAATGCACACAGAGACCCATCGTCGATTCTCGAAACCAGTGCCGGAGAGCTTATTCGCAGATAGTGTGCCACTCATCCCTCATACTCCAAGCATCCCGAGGGGCTTGAGTCTCATTCTTGTCGGACGTGCGGTTCCCCCAGAAGTTGCAGCCAATGTAGTCCGTATACGTGTCAGGCACGTTGAATGTCTCCTCAATCTCTCCATTTCCAAGAAACCTCATCTCGCCAGTACAGATGGATTCACATAAACCTCGCCGCTGTCTTGATTCAATGCATCTACAAGTCTCAACATCGCGTGCCCTTGCGATCTGATGGCTGAAGGCCATAGTGAAGGAGCTGAGCTCGGTAACAGTGAGCAGGCTGGTCCTGGACAGACGTTTACGAGGAAGACGAGAAGAAGAAGGCCTTGAGTTCAGCGATGCTGGAGCGACGGTAGGGCTTATCATTCGATATGGCGTAGAATTCATGGTTGTAGTATTCAAACTCATCCCGGGTCACTGGAGGTGTGAGACTCATTGGACTCGATTAGGGGTAGCGGTGAGATGATTGATTGTCTGGCCTGCGTTCTGCCTCCTTGAAAGTTTCACGGCAAAGTCAAAGAACTTGGGTATTAAGGGATAGTGAAGGAATTGGCGGGGGACTCAAGCGAGTAATGGTCACGATGATGTATGGTTGTGAGTGAAGTATAACCTCAGCCTCCATTCACCGAAGTTGTCTGCCCAAGCTCGGCTCAAAAAAGGAGCCTATGTGTCTTCCATCCTCTGTTGAACATTCAGAAAGGTTGTCAGCGTTATCAATAGGGCCTGAGGACCGACAGAATCTCAAGTCTCATACCTCGTTTTGGCGCCAGATGCTGATGGAAGGTACTCCTTAGCTGGTGGTAGCTCACTATAGATTGCTTCTGACCGAGACGAGGTCTCGGAATGACTGCCCCAGTAACTTCGTGCGCTGATGGAACACCAGTTGAATTCCGGTTAGACACCAGTAAATGGTAACTTGGCGTCTTCTGAATAAAATGGCATCACGGCGCATGCTTTGCAGAGTCAACAACCAATGCTTAACACCAAAGACTCTTAAGGCTTCGCAGACCCAGGCATATATACAAGCGACTGTGAGCGAAGAGTCCTTGAATCCAGGGAGACAACGTCACTCAATGAGACACCTGAAAAGGAAATGAGACACTTTCAATTTATCTAATACACCTTGGAAAAAGCTTGCAGACCCGCAGAAAATGAATAGCCAGATTCCCCAATAGACCCTTCAAGTAACGACAATTGACGAAGAGAGAAGAAAGTAGACAGCCCAGCGCAAACGAAAGAGTTATAGAAAAGACTTTGGTACAGATGAGTTCACAACCATCAGGTTCAGATGCCACGCGAGAATAATGATTTATTGGGGCAGAAACGAGAAAAGAAAGATACTGTTAGAGGAGCATCACCCTACTCCTGCCGACTACGCTTCGCACCGTGGGGGTTCCACGATCCATCATTGACTCCCTGGTTTTGAGGGAAGAAGCCTTGATTGAAAGCTGGGTTGGGGCCTTGAAAGCCGCCTGTTCCTGGTAAAAGGTATGTCAGAAAACGCACGATCCCCCGCCAACGATGACAGAAAGTGTCTCTAAGACATCGAGCACTGCTAGACGCACCTTGCATGCCCATGTTTCCACCCATTCCACCCATCATCGGGTTCATCCCACCGGCCATAGGATTCATACCCATACCACCCATGGGATTCATCGCTGGCATACCCATCATATTCGGCCCAGCCATACCACCGCGACCGCGCATTCCGCCAGGACCGCCGCGCATGCCACCGCCCATCATATTGCCACGGTTGTTAAAACCGTAGTTTTGCATCCCTCCCATTGGATTGCCCTGGAAGCCTCCGACCATAGGATTGCCTTGAAAACCGCCCATTGTGTTCTGAAAGCCGCCTCTGCCCCCAAAGCCTCCCATGTTGTTCATGCCGCCGCGGTTGTTGAAACCTCCCCGTCCGCCGCGGAAGCCTCCGCCCATGTTGTTCATGCCAAAGTTCATGTTCTGATTCGGCGAGTTGAAACCTCCTGATAGTGAGCGCGCCTGATTGTCCTTGCGCATAGGGGCGTCCTTAGGAAGTGTGCGGAATGGATTTGTGTGAGGGTTCGTATAATGAACCATGTATTTACGGCCCCCTTGACTTGAGACATTCAAGTTCTCAATTTGATGCTTGGCAGCTGTCGCAGCTTGGAGTGTTGTGAACTCAACAAACGCTTGGCTGTTTTGTATTGTATAATTAGCATGGCAAAACTCGCAGGAAGCAGAAAAGAAGGCCTACCCTTTGCTTTTACCATTGACTTTGTGCTCACTGAACGTTACATCCTTGAGTTCATCTTCGCACCCGGCTGCATTGATCCAGCCACGGATGTCATCGTCAGTAGTCCACCAATACAGGTCAGAAATGAGTAAAGCAGTTGTAGCGTCCGGGTCCGATGGGCGATCATCGTGCTCCTTGCGCTTTACACCCTGTTGCGGCGCCGGGGCTGCTTGAGAAGCTTCTTGCTGCTGGGCGTCGTGCGCCTGTGTTACGTGTTCACCGTTGGGACCGGTGCCGTCTCCCTGCTCCTGTTGAGCTTTCTGCTCTGTACTGTTTTGGCCCTGGCCAGCGCCGCCGTTTTGTGTCTGCTCTGGTGCATCTAGGATCAGCTCCGTGTCCTCATGCTTGATATAGTCTCCTTGATCGTTGGCATTGTAGCCACCGCCGTCACCATAGATGTCAATATCGAAGTTATCATCTTCAGTGGCCATCGTGTTTAGATATAGATCGTGATATCAAGGCAGAGTGTTGTGCAAATATACAATCTTTGTTTTTCTTGGTTCTTCTTTCAGCCTCGATCAGTCACTGGAAGTACATGTCTGCACACACAGATTTTCATTAGCAAGGAAAGAACATGTGTTGATTGGAAGGAATCTTGAATAACGTTTGGCTTCCCTTGGGCAAGGGCCGTAGTGCAGAGCCAAGCAAACCAAATAAGTGCAAATAGTGAAGAAAGACAAAACGTACGAGCGTAGCACAGTATGAGAAGAAGGCTCGAAGATACGTACAATCCGAAGCGAACACAGCTTCAAAAAGGAACAAAGTCTCCACCAGTTCGTAGATTTGACAGCTCCTGAACGGAGACACAGGGCGTAGGTAATTCTTCTCACTTTCCTCTTCCTTTGTGTTCCAAATACAGACAAAATAGGTATCAGAAGTTTCGATAATGAAAGAGACGGGTGCGGAGATATTTCAAAAGAATCTGAGGCGCTGCGCAGAGTCCAGACTGCCACAGCCTGGCAAAGGCACTTTGCTAACACACACGAACGGTATAGGTCTTGAGACAAAATCACAGAGGGTGCAATGAGTTAGTAGGTAGACTGAGGGGTTAAAAGATTAGTAGAGGTCCGTCAAGGCTGTTGCAGCCCAGGCAGTCAACAGGATCCCAGACTGATCTGTCTCCGCTGTCTTGTTCTCGAAGGACGGTTGGACGCCGAGTGAGGCGACGAAAAAGCACAATGGAGGTCGATAGTCGAGGATGAGCGAGCACGATAAGCGATTATCCCTTCGAAGACGAAGTGAAACGCGTCAACGGCGATAACAAGAGAGAAGCGGCAGCTTTGATGTCGATTGGAGCTTGTGGAGCTGACTTCCCCCGGCCCGGCGGAATTAAAAGTCCGAACCCCAGAAGGCCAGCTCTCCTGTTAGGGGATGATCTGTCGATTAAGCATCGTGGTGACTTATTGTCCAGATCATCCTCTCCTTCATTCCACATCCACCTTTTCTTCATTACCTTCTCAAACTTTTCGCTTCTTGAGTCTCTCTAACCATTGACCTTCTCACATTTTACTGATTTTATCTTCCCTCCTTTTATCCCACGTCGCTTTCCGACTCACACAGCACTATGTCCGACACTATTCAAGAACTCGCCGATATCCCTCGCGACTTCCTTCGGGATGGCATGCTTTTCGTGCGCAGATGCACCAAGCGTAGGTCTATCTTTGATAGAGCTCCGGGAACGAGTCTCATCTAATTCAATGCGTAGCCGACAAGCGTGAATTCATCAAGATCAGCCAAGCTGTAGGCATGGGCTTCATCATCATGGTAAGCTCTTCTCGTCTTATTGCGCGATAACTTTATGAGCCTATTAATACTAACTGCTTCTAGGGTGGTCAGTTTTCCTCCTTATAGAACAATTGACACCCCAGTACTTTTCAGGAGATCTGCTTACTCTTAGAATAGCCATTGGGTACTTCATCAAGTTAAGTAAGTATACAGAGTCCTGGGAAGCATGCGACGACCCTTTCTAAATTTGCTTTTCACTATAGTACACATTCCCGTCAACAATATCCTCGTCGGTGGCGCTTAAAATGGAGGCGACAAATCCATAGCAACCATGAAGCAGGTGCCAAAGAGGATGCTCCGAGTTTGAACCTAGCCAATCGCGCGGCGACATGATCTAAACGAGTTCCTATCTACCGGAGACGAAGATAAATCGCGATAATCGAGATGGGGTCCTGGAAGACCATTGTTCCAACATACTCCAGACAATTCGGCAAGCAGTTGCCTTCGAGTTATTATGCCCTTGCGTCAATTTTGTATAAATACCACCTTTTCTTTCTTATCTCGAGGCCTTCCAAGTAGCTTTGGAAGGCAAATGCAGCTTTTGTTCTGTTTACAATACATCGATTCTCATGAGACCATTTCGAAATCTCAAGATAGCGGTGAACTATGTGCTTGCTCCAATCGCCTAATTCGATCTGACAGTTGAATGTGACCAGATATCCGAGTACTCTGGGGAAGAATGTAGTCTAAGGGAAGACATACCGAAACTTTGTTATGTACAGAAATTACCAGAGTTCATATGCAAGTTCCTCGTCCAACGGACTCCTTCTGACAGGCCGACTCCGCACCGATTTTTCCTTGTATTGGTTGAACTCGGGCAAGTAATTTAACTTGCAATCGTAGCTCTTCCCGATCGATGGAGTACCTTCGTCATCAGCAGCACCATCGTTCCAGCTATGCAGGCTGCAGGTACCTGTGGACAAACCCCAGCCGTTCCAGGATGTTGCTAAACTACTGTCAGCATCTCGCCAATGTACTTCCAGACTTAGAAAAGGATGATCTTACCAGCGAGGACTGGCGCGCTGGGATGCCAACTCGCATCTCGAACGCAGGTCCGCCACAGCATCTCCCCGCTTCTACTCCTGATCTCATACGCGGTGGTGAACATATCAGGATCGCGCGGTCTCGAATTCAGAGTTGCAAGTCCGGCATCAATAGTGCCCGCAAGCGTTGCGTCCAGGTTGTAAACGTACACTTTGCCGTCTTCACTTCCGGTGTAAACGTAGCGCGAGTTCGTGCTACTCGATGGCGAGAAATGGCAACGGATGAGTGTCTTGAGAACCCGATGACCTCGGAACGTGACAACGGAGCAGTCGTGTGGATGTGGCTCGTAGTAATCTTCGGGATAAGGCTCGAATCTGTAATCATAACCGGTGGTATAACTGCTCACGTCGATGTCTGCAAACCTTGCCGTTGTCATCATCTTTCTCAAATCCCACAATTTCATTGTCTGGTCCTTCCCGTTGGAAAGTACATATCGGCCGTCTCCTTTGCTGTCGACATATGTAATACCTTCCGTATGGCCTATGAACACTCCAGCCTCGCGGCCGTCGCCCATGGAACGCCGGTCCCAAACACGAATCGTGGAGTCATCCGAGCCAGAGTACAAAATGTGAGGCGATGATTTATCGCCGAAGCAGACGGCGTTGACGTCGTCTTCGTGCTTCTGTAGCCTTAGAACGGACTGCCGTGTTTCGATGTCATAGACAATTACGGAATTGTCAGATTTTCCGGCAACTATTTCGCGTCCATTACCCGAGAAGCGGATTGACCATATCTGTTACCTGGTCAGTGACTACGCAACGGGTCATTTTGTGGGGATGCGCACCGCAGTATGTGAGCTGTCGTGGAAGCCTCGCCCAACACGGCCTAAGGATAGGTCCAACACAGAGGGGTCGGATTGGTCAGCTGGGTCTGTCGGTGCAAGGCAGACGATATTTCTAATGGATGTGTATGCCAAGAACTTGTTGTCTGGACTCAAGCTCGCATCGGTAATGGTCCACTGGCCAAATGGATAGTCGACAGTCTTGTAGTACTTCCACTCGAATGGATTAGATGTATCATACATCCGAACTTTGAAGTCCTGCGCACAGCAGAAGAAGAAGTTACCGTCGTCAGAGAATTGACCCGAATAACATCGCGAGTCATAATGAATGATCTTGTCTGCGGCGGAACCAGGTATTAGATCCTGAGAGGCCCACCCAATTAGTACAAAGCACCTTTTCCATCGCACGAGGTCGAAAACTTACTTGTGCAGTTGACTGCACAGCCAGTCTATGCCTCCCAGATACGTCAACACCCAGTTCTCTCCACATAATCTTTGCTGCAAGCGTCTTTTTGCGTTTCTTCAGCATGTCGACATAGTAAGGATCCTCTCCAAAATCACCGGATCGCATGAGTTCCGTACCCTCATCACTTGGAACCTTCGGTAAATTCTCAGCTCCAGAACGTCGGGATCTTCGTGAATATCTCAAGAAACCGAACTCTTCGTCATCTTCATCTTCATCACCTAACGTACCCCCTCGCCACCCATTGTAGTGGAGGATATGTCGCAGACCATTGGAAGCTAACAGATTCAATAATCGAGCAGCCGATACTGCTTGCACCAGTCAGTGTCGATAAAGAAGCAAATGCGAGTAGTTCGTTGGGTGAATGGTACCTCGAGTGTGTCTCCCTTCTTGAGTTTCTCCGCCAGTCTCTTCCTGATCAGGATCATCCATGGAGAACTCAATATGTATGTTACCTAGACGCAAGTGAGGGTCTTCAAATTGTTCGACCCAAGATTAGTCTCATACGGAAAATTAGCAGTCCATCGCGGGGAAAGCTACCGAAGTGACCTTCATCTTCATCCTCATCCTCATTTTGGTCTTCATCGTCATACTCATCCTCGTCTCTATCTTCCGTAACCTCGGATTCCGGTTCATAATCCATGTCGTCTTCCTCGTCCTGTTCAAGCCACTCTCTAGCCGGGTGCCACACTGTACCAGAAACTCTCCGAGGCGGAGACTCTTCCGACCTGGTACCACCAGCGGAAGACGAACCAGATGGATTCATATCGGTAAGGTAAGTGATCAACTTTTGCTGCTGGAGGCTATATCAAACGTATCCGGTATCCAATATCTCTGCAGCGTCAAACATCGAAACAAGAAAGAAGCAAGTGTCCATGCCTTTCGGATCTGTTTGATCTGAGTAGTAGTGAGTTGGGGCATTGTTGCTTAACTTGCTTATCGATATGTCACCGACTCCGGGTTATGTCATCCCGGTGGGTTCTCCGCTTTCCGTTAACCCCTATCTCCGAGTGCTTTGTAGTACTCACTAGAGCAGCCTATGAGAGCAGAGAGCTCTTGACCAAGCCAATCTCTGGCCTCGCGTTACAGCATCTATTGCTAGGTACCTGTAAAGACATAAGAATTATTCCAGGAACCTGGAGATGGGTCAAATTGTTACAAATCTACTGTAGCTAGAACGGATCGTCCAGACACTTCGTTTGCTTTACTTCAAGTGCATCTCCAACACTCCAACATGTCCGAGTCACAGCTCAGAACCAACCAGACGGTGTCGATTTGGCCGCCATGGAGTTTTAGTGTTTGCAACATCCATCAAGAGATGATCCGAAACTTCATCTTGCATATTGCTTTAAGCAAAGATAGCATGGAACTTCTCGTCGAACTGATCCTTTAACTCGCGGAAGGCATTCAACACCTCCAACGACACCAACGAAGGTCGGTTCTTAGGCTGAATACCCTGAATCTCTGTGGTATCCTCGTCTTCGGAGAAGAAATCACTGTCGTCGCTCATACATTCGTCCCATTTCTCCAACACATCCTCGTCAGTCGTAGCCCGGGTAGTTCCAAGTGATTGTCGCATTCGAGAGACTTGATTATCAGTGCGCTTCGACGCGACCTTTTGACCAACAGACTGAACATCGAATATTTCCTCCTCTTCATCCTCGACCGAAAGAGATGACGAAGAGTCATCGCTGGCGAACATACTTTCTGAACATGAACTCTTCAGGTCGGGATCAAGATAAACTTGCAGAGAAACAATGATCGTAGCCAGGATCAGGGAGAAGTCATTCAGCAGAAACCACGTGTCAGAACGAGAGATGAAATTGGCGACCTCAAGAGGTTCCACACATCCGTGACAGAAGAAGTCATACAGATAAGCATTCAAAGGTGCCATACCCCCATCCGGATAAACATCAAGGTATGGTATGACACTCTCCTCGAGAAACACGCCCGACCGGACCGAATTACAGAGGTCTTTCATGCTCTTAAAATGATCGCCGTGGCCCGAGAGCCCAACAAAAGCTGAACGTGATTGATTCGCTTCCAGTACTCCCAGCAAGCGACTGAGTTGTTGGTGCCCACTGCCCCCAACTGGCACTTTGCTAAGCGGCAACTCACGCTCGGGTTCTTTCAGGTGCTGTTTGACGAATGTCTCCACATACGCTGTATATGTTTTGAGAATGCTCTGATTATGGGCTCGAATCGCCGATACGGCATTCGGTGGTAGCGGTGGCAGCATCACGACCGAGGGAGACTTCAACTCTTGTCTCCGGGTCAGAAGTTCCTTGTATCGATAGCCGAGAGACTTTCTTCCAAATAGATGGGCGAGCACAATCATCAACGTCCTCAGCTTCTTCTCGGTGTTCTTCCGGTGCTGCTTGCACAATTCCTCAAAGTAGCCTGCACGAAGAAGAGCATGGAATGCGAAGGCACTATTTTCAGTGTAGTACAGATGCGCAATGCTAGAAGCCAAGCGAATTGGCTCTCCGTGTCTCCCGATGAGATCCTGGCGTCGCAGATATTCAATGGAAAAGCGGAGGTGATGGAGTACCTTGTCCCTCGACTCGACACTTCCGAAGTTAATGCGTGGCTGAGACAGCAAAGAATTTATTGCCCGTGCTGCGTATGGCGACTCCTTGGAATTATGAAGAAGGATGAAGAGTCGAAGCACAAGACTGGTCGTGATAGGGAAATGGCCGTTCAGATCCGGAAGCCGTGAACTCATCAATTGATATGCCTTGTGACGGGGAATGCCATGGAAGATGACATTTCCGAGAAGATCAAATCCTCGGCGCCCTGCTCGACCAGCAGCCTGACGGAAATTGAGCGCGGTCAAGAAGACGCTGTCACCACAGAAGACCACGGTCGAACACGGCATGTTGATACCCAAAGCCAGCGTTCCAGTGGCTACAACAACACGCAAGAATCCTGCGCGGAATAGCCTCTCGACGCTGTGCAAATAGTCAGCTAGTATCCAATGCTCGTATCAAGAGGTCACATCTCATACCACTGGCGGTAACGACGATTCAATCCGGCATGGTGGACGCCTACTCCTCTCTTCAGAGCTTCGAGTAACAGAGGCTTAACCTTGCGCCCTTTCATCATTTCTATCTCCTCGAGAAGGTCTGTCCAGTCGAATTTATGAGTATCGGCAAACGAAAACTGCTCTAGAGGCCTGTCCGGGTCAAACCTCTTGAATGGACTATTATCTTCCTCCACATCCTTTGCGGTGCTCTCAGTTTCCTCCCGAGGTTGTTTAGGATTGCTCTTTTTCTTGCTTTTCTCATTGGTTTGAGCTTTCTTGGACGCAAGTTTCCTGTATTTCTCGTAGTCCGCCATCTTCTGCCTCCATGGTGCACTGCTCTTGTACTTGTCCTCAGCTTTGAGTAGATGCTCTAGAGTCGTGATCGCTATCTTTTCGCATGTCGTCCGTGCATAGTTGAAAAGCAGAGCAGGTAGGGCATTTTGGGAATGTAAATCCACGAGGAGTGGGAACACAGATGTGCATAGCTCATTCTTCATGCCTTGACGTTCGGGAACCACTAGATCACTCTGATTCTCCTCATTGCTTTCTGAAACCTGCAATCCTTGAGCAGGTGCGAAGATAGCCTCCAGGTCGCTTTGCACCATTTCAAAGGGAGAGTAACTGTCTTGCATCCATGTCGACAGAAGTTCCTTAAGCTGCGCCTCCCATTCATACACATCGCTCCGCCTAATGAACCGTGGAAGGGCAAGTTGTGGACTCAGAGATTCAGGCACAGGAAAATCGACTGATGAGTACTTTACCATACATCTCCAAAGTGTATAGCAGTCTCTCGGCTCAAGAGAAAGATCCTCCGGCATTTGCCGCTGCTTGCTGAGAAGGCTTGTGATTGGGTGAAGGGGGTGCAAGCCCCGAATAAATTTGGGCTCAAGGCGGCCCTTATGCTTCGATCGGGAGAGGCCTTCGAAGGGACGATCTGCCGGCATATAGAAATACTTCCGAAGGTCTGAGTAGCGCTGTGTATGCTGAATCAGTTTGAGAGTCACCCCCATGTTATTCTGAGTCGATTGAAGCCAATCAGCGAACTCTGATGGATTTCCCACGGTTGCGGAAAGAGCGATGATACGACACGGAGCAAGCAATAAGAGTTGCTCCCAAACTAGGCCATCCTCGGTATGACCTATCGAGTGAATCTCATCAAAGATGATGCATTTGACTCTAGGAGCCCATGTGATGGCGTTCGATGAGGACAAAAGCATCTTAAAGACTGCTGTCAGTTGAGAAATACTATAGAAGAGTGATAGCTGAGTTCGTTGCACTTACAATCTGGAGAAAGTGAGGCACGGTCACTAAGATCTGACACTTCAAGGGATCGTTTATGCGGACATCGCGAGTAGAGATAGCCCAAACTGTCTGCTCAGGGCCCGGGTACCTTTTCCGAAAACGTGCATGGATCTCTGCACCGATCTGATTCACCAGCGCCTTTGTCGGAGCTACATATACCAGGACTCCAGTGTCGTCTTCCTGCAGCACTTTCGACATAGCATAGAAGCTGATGAAAGTCTTTCCCGCACTGGTTGGAGCTACGACGAAGACACTATGGTTCTTGTCAAGCTCATCGAGGACATCCTTCTGCCATTTGTCCGGTTCGAAGCCCACACGGTCATCGGGTTTTGCGCCAGTCTGGCGATCCATAAATGGCCCACAATGGAGCAGTTGAAAGGCTTGAAAGTCAAGTGGCGCACCCAGCTGACGTGGTTTAATGCAACTGATATCGAAATGAAAACACAACTGCCGACTCGGAAGAGAGGACGATGGCGACGGTGTATCATGGATGCTGAGCTTACAGCATATGCCATGAAACATCGAATACATTTCATGAGACATGAAGTTGATTTTGTGCCGAAGGGTTCGAATTTGGTCCCACACATCCCTCGCTGAGGTGACAAGCTTATCCTCTTCCTGAGGCGAGGTCTCTTCCTGCCACAGAGCCACAAGAAGAGTCAATAGGTATAGGCGAACCTCGGGCTCGAGGAAAGCTCGCTTCCGGGTCTCCTGTCGGTCTAAGAAAACTTTGACGTCGTCCACCTGATGATGAAGGTCTAGCTTCTGTAATCCGAGGAGCTTACGTTGCCATGAATCTATCCATGATGACTCTTCTTTTTTGGCCCTTTCAACCTCCTGTTTCTCTATCAACTGCTTTGCTTTAGACGATAATTTAGCAGCTTTCGGTTGCTTTCTGGCGACTTTTGATGACACCATTACTTGTTGTTCGAGCACGTTGCCCTTGGCGTTGGTAAGGCTGGCTGCGTATTTGGTGAAGTCTCGGAATCTTTGCTGGTTCCGCCGCGCAGGATTGTTCCATTTGGTTGTTGGCTTTTGAGGAAATGTCCTGTGCTTGGAATCGAGCAAACGACGAGTATGCCAATGCGTCTTATCCTCGAAGCCTCGCTCGGGACATTCTTCCTGCGAGTTCTCGATGACTACGCGTACGCTGGCGAGATGTTGATCAAATGTTGGGTGCTCGAACGGCAACAAGGCATACTTGCTTTCTGTGTCTTCATCCTCTTCATTTGTTGCCCCGTCTCCATCCGTTTCGTCATCATGATCTTCTTCGTCTCCTTCTTCTTCCTCATCCTCCTCGTCCTCCTCATCGTCTTGGTCGTCTCCATATTCGTCATCGAAGGCTCGCTCTTTATGCTGCAATGTCGCCGTGTACGGAAAGTTCTGAGAGAAGAATACTTCCGGACCGCCTAGTTCTTCAATACGATTTAAGCAGGTCCAAATAGTATGCCAATCGTCACTGATGAGGCTGCTCAGGTGTGCTACTTTCTCCACCGAGTAATACGCAGCACAGGACCTAAAAAGCCTACCATTAAACAGGTCATGCAGATCTCCCCAGGATTTGTTTTTGTTTAAACCCTTCCATTCGTTCGTTTGAAGCATGGTCGTTGCTGCCCTGCTGAACTTTGTAACGAACTTGTTGTACAGCCCCTCATTTGGTATCTCGGGCCTTGCGGTTCTTCGTTGCTGCAGAGATAATCGTTTGAGGCAAGCCAGATGCAATAGCAGGATGGCTATTATCTGTTTGGATGCTTCATTTTGATTCTGGGCCAAGAGAACTGATGCGACTGCCACAGTCAAAGCCTCCCTACTTGTCATTGCCGAACTGACCTGATGGCCGTTTGCTTCTGCAATAGAACGCAGGACTTGGGTGCATATAGATAGGTGTGGTGGCATATGGGTCTTGCGCTCCGCTTCTAATTCAATGAACGTGCGCTTGGAGGAGCTCGCTTGAATGACTCTTGTCAAAATCTATACTCGTAGTACTCTGTCAGACAGCCTCCTCTCTTACACTAACAGGGAAAAGAAACAAACCTTGCTATCACGCCACTCGATCTCATTGATGATTGCCACATCCAGCCCAAGAGTCATCATGTTACAGATAACACGAAGTGTATCATCAATGAGCCGACGTCTGTTCTGCAGTGCTCCATTGTGGCACATGACGAAGTAGACACTATACGTTTGGACATACTGGTGGAATTCAGGAGATCTCATAGAGGGAAACCGGTGAACTTGAAGATCAGGGTACTGATCCTGAATATGCACCATAAGATGCTGATAGATGATCTCCCTCGCCAACTGGTACTTGGAGCGATTGATATTTGAGGCAGCTTGGGTAGAAATCCCTTGGTTCTCTGCGTCGTCAATCAGTAAATATTAGTGCGCGGTCCTCTAATCAGCTGGGGTGTACCGTCAAAAAAGACAATATGAAAATTGCATTTCGTCGACAAAAACTTAGAGAGTAGTCGCTCAACGTTGTAGACGCCCTGGAGGAGCTGGAACCCAGCTGAGAATTTGTAAGGAACACTGAACTTCAAGGTACGTGTCTTAGAGGACCTACCCTTGAAGTCAAGATTGGGATCATCAAGACACTGGAGCACGACGGAATCTCCCTCAAGACAAAACAGCTCTTGTCCTGCGTAGTCACTCACCAGATCGAGAACCTGGGAGCTAAGAGTGGCATACCAGTCTCGCAGGTCGTCCATCGTGGTTGTTGCATGAAGGCCAAGTGTGCGCAGAAGGCAGACAGCTGGAGAAAATAAGGGACAAAAATTTGGGGGATGAGGAAGAGGGTGGGTAGACAGGTGAAGTGAAGGAGGGGTGGTGGGTTGAGATTGTTTGCTTGCTGCAGGTGCAATAGGTTAGCAGCACAATTCGAGGATTATGGCACAGTTTCATTTTCGCAGAAAGTCCTGATAGAGTCTTTCCCATTGTGTTATATCTTTTTATTCTGTTCTTATTTACAGTGTACTTGCCTACAGCAGTCCATAATAGCATAGCATGCTAAATATTGAGGTAGGTGAGTAGCATCTTACAGAAAGGTCTTTGCACATTAATGACATAAGCAGACGTAAAGTAACATGAGAGGGTATAATTTCATTTTTGTGATCATGAGTCAATAACATAAGAAAATAAAGGATTAAATAAACATTTTTTACATTGTTACTTCCGCTTCAACGTGGCTCTTCTCTGCGTAAGACACAGAAGGACGAGAAGAAGGAGAAGAAGGAGAAGAAGGAGAAGAAGGAGAAGAAGGAGAAGAAGGAGAAGAGTGAGAAGGACAAAGGGAGATATGGTAGACAAGTCCGACAACATTCCGAGGCCTGTCATGCCAATTCTTGCTCCAGGAGATAAAGAAAAGAGCAATTCCCGTAGTCGTATGAGCATCAAGAAGCATATCATCATTCAACCAACATTGTATTGACTGGACGGATCGGGGCTTCAGCGAACTTCATCAGAATGTGGATGAGCATCATGAAAAGTAATTGAAGATCATCCCTCCCATCATTTAAATTGGGGGTATCGAGTGCCGTGGAAGCGAAGCCTCCAACAATCATCCCCGCGTTGCTAATCACTATACTCCATAGTTGAGAAAGTGAGAGAGTCTCGTCGCGGATAGGAAGATCGACTGTGAATTCAATGAGGCCAGGATAGTCTGGGGTAATTTCAGATGATCGGAGTTTATGTGCTTTTGGTGCTTCAAGCTCAATGACATTCGCAACCGTCGTTTTGAGTTTGAGCAGCTTAACAATAACACGGAGCCTCGTCTGAAGCATGTGTGACCTCCTTCGCAATATTACTGTTGTATCTGTAAGGTCTGGACTTGCCGAATCAAGCGCGTCGTCCAGGAGCTGCATTTGGACCTCTGTGCTGCATAGAGGTAACTGCTTCCGCGCTATGGCCACACTGTCGGGGACATCTAATGTTTTTTTCAGTCAGCGGCGGCTTATGACAATGATAGGTTGAAGCGTTTGGAGACTCACTATCCCATGCCGAAAGGTCAAGGGCATGCGGAGCGGAAGCTATCGAAAGAGTGGCCGGTTTCTCAGTCAGTGTTATGCAAGGCTGGGTAGCCATCTCCGACATGAGTATTGCGGAACGGGTAAGGACATCATGTCCATTTAGCAAGCCCCGGGATGTCCTTGTGTTATAAGTGCCAGGACGACCAAGTGCATGACTGCCTTGACTGCACGGCAGGAATGGCCGGTTGCCATAACTCTCAAGCTTGGCAGTAAGGATACCCATGCAGTCGCTTTGTAAGTTATTGTGAAGGACCAACAATGGCTTCGTCCTCTGGGAAACAGCGTAAGGAAAAATAATAGAGGTCGGATGAACGGCAGGAATGATGGTCTTTGTGCATGTTACGAGCTCTTTCCTTGACTCTTGCAAAAATAGCTCATGCTCAAAGACTTGTGAAGTCAAGTCCAACTCTCGACCAAGCTTCCAGGGTGGTGATAAAGATTTCCTAGGAATATATGCATGATCGGGATATGTTTCCTGATGCCAGGGGCGTGACTGGTTACTTCGCTGGCGAGCCTTGCCTGCGCAAAGGTGGCATTTTCGCTCAGCTCCATCGGAGGCTGTACAATGAGTGCAACTCTGCATGGTATGACCGCAGGTCCTGCACTTTGTCTGGCAAGACTTCTCAAGATTTCGAAATTGGTTCTTTCGAGGATTTTCATCAGTTGGACTTGGTCGTGCATTTGAGATGCGACTTCGTCCAGAACTATTCGATGAATGTGGTGCATTTCGGGCGGCAGACAATTGCTTGAAGCTGTCCAGACTATGATTCCTCTTGGTAGAGGTTGGTGAGCCTTCTTTTAGAGTCGAATTCAGGGTGCGGTGATAGTCTTGTAAGCTTGTTGGACTATGGACGGGTGATAGGTGCTCGGGGCCGTCTTTGTTCAGTACTGAGTTGGGACGAGTACGAGCATGAGCGTTGGTTACGAACGGGGGGCTTTGCTCGGCTTCGTCAATAGTATCAACAGCAAGACTGGCTTGTGTATTGTGTTGAGAAAGACTGGCAGCATGGAAACTGAATTGCTGGCCAATATTGTTGAAGTCATAGTCGCCTCCACCCATGTTGTCTCCTTCAACTGAAGACGACGGGGGGAAACCTGATCCATCATTACCGCTGGGGCCAAACCCCTGCTGGCCGCCAAAGTCTGTCCCGTCTCCGCCAGTGTTGCCGCTGCCTCGTCTGCTCTGGCTTGCACTGGTGTATGCAGAACTTCCGCCAGGTAGGCGGCAGTGCTTCACGATGCACTCGAAATATCTCTTCCATGTGTTCACTTGCTTTGGACAAAGTCCACAAGTTTTGGGAGGTGGGCATGGTCGGGCTAGGTTGTCGAGGCAGCCCTTATTCAGTAGAGTAAGGGCAAAAGAACCGTGTTTGACTTGCAAATGGCCACGGAACTTGTCCCTTCTAGGTGTACTGAAGGAACATGCAGGACAATAGTACTTGTGCTCCGCTTGATGAGTAAGACTCACATGCCGCCGGAAGGTTCCACGAGTTCCGTACACCTTCCGATTGCCTTGACTGCAGAGCTTGCAAAGGTACCTATCTCGCGGAGAAGGTATATTGGGAGCACCTAGGTCAAGTCTCTCCTGTATTGATGTGTCCAGCTTGCAGAAGGTAGCTTTAACGAAACTTCTCAGGTCGATCAGCTGAGAATAATCGAGTTCAGGCAAGGCTTGCAGTACTAATGAGTCCCACAATTGAAGATCGTTCCTAAGTTGATTTACCTTCGCAAGCGGACTGTGGACAGCGTCTTGCGGCTCTGACGGCAGTTGCACGGGCACTGCATCGAGAGATCCGATAGTTGGCCATTGGCCAGCCCAATCACCCTGTAACAGCGGAACTTCCGGTGGAACCAAGTTGCCGTCAGTCAAGTCAAGTGCCTCAAAGTTGTAGTTGGTTCCTGTCTCATGGCCGGATAACTGGGCTGGCGCCCCTGTACTGCCGATACTGGACGGAGACACCGGAGCGAAGAATGGATTTTGGCTATGAGTCTTGCCAAAGTGTTAGCCAGCTGTCTTAATATACCGACAAAATAAACTTGTAGGTGGTTGACTCACAAAAGACATGTCGAGGGTCGGGGCTGGAGCCAAATGGCCCTCCAGTGTCTGGACGGGAGGTGCAGCGTAACGGACGGCACGCCAAATGACACTGGAGCCGACGTATATATCGTCTTGCTCGTAATTGAAGTCATCAATAATATGGCCATTGTTCAGAGGATTCATGATAACGAATGTCTCAACAGTATTTCAATAGATTGACAAAAGACAGGATGCTAGGATGTCGACGAAATAGAAACAAAATAGTACAACGGCACACAAGAGATAGACGCAGAGTTTAGAAAAACAAGTTTCGGCTAAAGGGCCTGGCATACAGTTTGTAAAAAGCAACGGTCTTAACGATAGGCAAACATCACGTTGAGTAAAAAAGAGTGTCACTAAGCGCTTGGTAAAAGAGTAAGATGATGCCCGCAAGGACAGAATGTTTTACTTTGAAGACACTGGGGAAATGAACTACGGACGATGGCGAGAAAGAGAGAAATTTGGGAATGTCATCTTTAAGAGGGATCATCAAGTACTTGTCCTCCTTTACCTGGGTGAAGTAGGTACCCACGCGGCTGCTATGGGAAAGTTCGTAAGGTACAGCCTACTAGACCATGCCTGCCTGATCTCCATACACCTTAGCTTCAACACAGGTAGGGGGATGAATAAGCCCATAATAACTTATTGCTTGGACTCAGGTTTGCAAATTTTGTCAGAGAAAATTCGCTGAGCACCTTAGGCGGAGAACAGTGTGTTCGAAGGAGGTTGACACTTGACAGCGGAAGCTAGAGGTCACACTTCTCGATGAGGTCCACAGGATGAATTATCCTAATAGAATTGCTTGGTGGAGCTTGAGGTCAAGCGTCTGTCCGGTATATGTATCTCACTTGGCTCTGGGAGGATTGTATTCGAGTAATGCAGTGGATGGCTTCGCCTCACTCCCTGCAAGTACTGTACGGTATTTTACTAGCAAATGCGAACTAATACGCATCAAATTCAGACTATTTAGGCGATCTGGGGTACTCGCACTGCCAATGTCCGGCACACGGTACTTACTCGATTTATGGGCCAAGGGTCAACTGTAATGTCTTTATTTCCAGGAGTGCTTGAAATACAAGCAGAGCCTCAAACCTCAATCACCTCGTCATTCACATTTGTCTCTCTCTAGAATTTATTGCAACTCTTTGCGACATCCAGCAATGAATATCACAGCCAAAGAAGACTTCTACATTGCAGGTCAGAGAGCCCTCTAGATACATGCTTCTTAATCTGTTTACTGTTTCTGTCTTGCCATGGTGCAGTATGATATTTCTTCTTAGGCAAGTGTTGGTGTAACAACTATAATGACATACGGCTACAGGCTAAGTTAGGAGGACTGGGAATTGAGCATTATTCGGCATAGTGACAAAACCCGGCTTCGAGTGTGGCTGAGGATGCGCGGTGATAATAATCAATAATGGGAAGGATTGTGTCGAATAAATCTTTGCAACGGAAAAAATTATTGTCCAGCCTTAAGTGTAGATAACCATTGTTCAATGTGGTTCCTACCTAGATAGCAAACAAGACGGCAAGAATTCTTATTACAGGTAAGATTAGGTACGTTAGTGTCCCTGAAAAAATAAACGGACAAAAAGTACATAGGCTCAGCGTCAGCGAAGTCGTCACACTGTCAACCTAGGTTGGTCCGAAAACTTCTTGGCTCGTACCTTCCATAGCTACCTAAGTACGTACCTTACTCGCTAAGATTGTTCGCCTCTTGCCGAGTTATCTGACGAGTTGGAGTAAAGGGATTTAGAACTCAGCAACTGGATGGCTGATACCTTGTAATTTGCATACATCAGCTGCGCGACTTCCGAACACTAATCTTTTCTTGACCTACGTATCAAAGTAGGTAGCTACTGAGTACTTTGCAACCATAACTACCTTACTAGGTAGAAAGCCATCTGTATGCATTACACAAATAATGATTATGTACGTCTGATTGACTGTTGATATTCTTTTTTTCCCGTCACGTTGCTTCGCAGCCCTTCCTCAGTGGTTGTTTGAGGCTGGCTGAGTTCACCTCTGTCTTCAAAGTGAAGCGCAACCTTGGAATTGACATTGCGGAGGTGATAGAAGTGGAGACATCGATGGTGGATCATGGTGGATCATGGAACTCTGGGCCCGCCCGCCATTAAGGGAACCAAGACAATCTAGATTCCACCCGTAGATATATACACATGTCATGATATCAAACTAGTCCAAACGTCCCCCGAGCAGAGATATCACGGAATTGAACTGAATAAATGTATCTGATCTACTGGAGCCTCGACTCTCGAAGCTGTAATTCGATAACAAGGAGTCAAGTGGCACTTCCAATTGTGGACTACGGTGTAATCACCCCGATCATCTGGACAGTACAGCTGGCGAACGGACCCGCAAATATTCTGAGGTCTAGAATGGACGGTAGACAGATTCAACGATTTCTTTGTTGTCCATCATCGTCGAATGAATCCACCTATGACACGCCACATTCTCCATATTGTGTCGCACTAGCCACTCGTCAGCCACACGAAGATGGCGCAGCACTATCATGGCTTTTTTGAGGCTCACTCCTCGCTCCTCAGGCAAAGCCACCTCTCATTGTAGCATTGCATCATAAAAGCGCTTTGAGGAGAAAATCAATTTTGTTGAGCGATGCCTCTTTCGTAAGAGATTGCTAAATTTCGATTTCAACCCGGCTGGTAAATCGTCTAAATCGCTCACCGGTCAAGCCTACGAAGGATCTCCTAGGCATATGCTCTCTCTGCTGAGAATACCTTGGCAGCAGGCCAGGCGCCTCCAAGGCTCCCCGACGGAGCTAAGAGACAGATAGTGAAACTTGGCAAATTCTCACACCCCGTCATCTATCAACAACTCATCGTCGCTACGGGTATAGCAGACTCAAATATCCGCGACAGATTCTATCACGTAAATGGTTTGTCTCGCGGTGAGCATTGAAAGCTGAAGCATCTGTGCCACCAAAACACTGCTGGTTTTGCTGCCTAATGCTCAAACAATTAGTAATGTAATGACTTACAAGCGCAGTTGGCGCAGTTGCCATAATGTTGCTGAGAAGAACTACTGAAGTGAAGATTCTCCAGATCATTATTATTATTACTACGGAGTACTATTAGATTTTCGGTCGGTGGCGGAGAAAAGAAATCATGATATGCGGGGAGCGTTAAACATCATCTAGAACATGTTGTGCAGATCTCGGGACGTTTCGACTTCCCCTACCTCTCTACTGGCGCTGAAATTGTGGTTCGAACTGGAGGGTCCAGAATCAAGGGGATCAACCCCGAACCAAGGCCACGTTCGCTTATCAGTCTACGTACTCTCAAGGTTGGGACAATGGACTGGATGATTATGGGTTTGAACGTCTTTGCTTTTTTTCCTCTGTCTTTGGTGGTTTATCACCGCCTTTGCGCCATTTCATTATCATAAAAGAATTGTTCAATTGGCTTAAAGTGAAACAAGATCTTCCATACACAGAAAAGCTACTCGAAAATTAGAGAAACAGCAACGAACTACTCTGTACCTATCTTTAAGTTGATCTAAGGATGAATGGGACCAGAATTCAAATAACAGTTTCTGAGCAATATCTTGGATTTAGAAAATAAATAAATAAAAATAAGAAAATAACAGAACCCATCATTAAGGTAGACTGTGGGCCAAGTGCCAACCTAAATCCACGGTCCCACATCTCTGTTCTTCTCCATCTTCCCCGGGGGCTCTCTCGTTACTGATGGTCGAAAGCGAGTTTTCAAGGATTCTCGAAATCATAGAATTTCGCCTCACGAGAAAAGGAAAATTATATCTGTATGAGAGAAAGCAGCAAAAGAAATTAGTCACTAAAAGGATAATCTAACCGAAAAGCGGACTACAGATGTGACCCCAGCATTGCGCTTTCCGAAGAAAAGGGATTCTGTACACCAACGATACGTCCAAACCCGGTGCTCTGGATAGTTATTTACTTAGACTTTCCTTTGAGTCGAGCTGCCCAAGGCCTTTTTGGGCGTGAGACAACCTCGCTAGGGGCGGTGCAAGGCTGGATGGACACCAGAACCAAGAGACGCAAAAGATGGACTACAGATTTCGGGACCACCTGCAGAACTGGATAGACGTCTGACTAGGTTGAGAGCAAAAGATAGATTGCGGTGTGCATTTCTGGGTGAGACAAGGTACCGTGTTGTAAATTATCACTGTCGGATAGCTATCCTTAGTTTCGTGATCTATGCAGCCTGACCTGAGTCTAACCAGGTCTAAATGGTCAAGGTGCACAAAATAAGCTAGCTTGGGATAGGTATTTTGGTGAAGTATAGTTCTTAGAGGAACTGATACCAATCAAAGTATCTTTTGGGAACTTGGAGTATAAGACACGACAGCAACTAGGGACTGATAAAAATATCTAAAATGCTTTTGGTCTCTGTCAGCCAAATACAAAGCAGTCTAATTGAACAAACAGGAGACCTAACAGATACAGTATAAAGGGATAACTGAAGGTGAGTATACAAAAAAAAAATCGGAAAGCTAGATCAAAATGACAGCTTTTGATTTCGCTTTTGTTGCATCGCGACTGGCGACCAAGGGTCTGCTTTTGGAGACTGATCCAGCATAGCTTGCAGCATTAAAGGAACTTTATTATTGCTCTGATTTTGCAAAGATGACGAAGGATTTTTGGCCCCAGGAGACCGAAGAACGTCTTGAGGAGCTGTGGTGATATCGTACCGGTGTGTCCAGGAGCCGATATGGAGAAGGTCCATTTGTTGCTGAGTGGCGTAAGACATTTGGTTTCTTGAAGAAACCCCAGTTAGCCTGAGAAGGCTGAAAGGAAAAAGTCCTCGAACTGAGAGGTAGAGTTTGAAAAGAACTGGGTCTGACTACCTTGGATTGGTCAACGTCGGGATAATCATACACGATAGAGTCGTGACAGGAATCAGGTAGGGTTAGGCTGCAGCAGGAGTATAAGAGAATTCAATACCGGTGAGCTCTTTCTTGGTAAAGACTCTGTATCGCAGCGAAGTGTCCTGTTAGAGTGCTATAGCTCCCTCTGCATGGAGGGAGGTGACCTTCTTATAGAAAGCATCGCATCGCTAGGGATAACGTTGAAGAGAAGGTCAGATGAAAAGACAAAATACAGAAACCTTCCCTTTCACCTTTTT